CTGACGGCAACGCTGTACAGATTGTTCAAATCATCTCATTTCAATTTAGTTGCAGTGAAGTGAAACACTGTGTACACTACATGTATGGTGGTGTGTCTGTGCATCTTGAGTGTGCACAAAGGATCTTACTGTAAGACATGTTATTATAACGAGTCGCAAATTTAACGATTGTCCAAAAATTCATAGGTTAACGAGAAGATAATGTTAACGATCTTGCAGTATTCTGCCATATCCACACATAGCATAATATGAATCAGTACGGCCTCAACGGATCTTATTATAACGAAGAAATGTCATCCGTTAAAACGTTAGATTTGCTTCCTCGTAATATTATACATGTCTTACAGTATTCCTCGTATTGCTAATAGATTATTGTCCCCACCGTCACCTGTTCACAGGTCTTTGAGTGGATGGATTTTCATTGAGCATTACATTCGTTGAGAACTTGGTAGTTGTGTGCTTCCATGCATCATTACGGTAATACGCGTATCCTTGTGCTATCTATTTGTTGCAGGTGTGCTGATCTTCAGAAGATTGCGGAACTGAGTGCTGCTGAACATTTGCATGGCCATGAGCAATGGTGAAGCTTGCTATTGCACTCTCAGCATGTCCTAGTATTATGCTGACTACTGCACTATGTGAATCTCTTACGCTACTACACGTATGTAAACGTGCGCGCATCCGCCCACGTATGCATTCGTTTCGTATAATTATTTGATTCCAAGTTTGGACTCTGTACAGTGGATTTTGGACCAATGGACTCTATATAGGGGTTGGACATCATATAGGGGCTGGACGCTCTACTGAGTCCAACATATATTCTCATATGCGAGCAATGCTCTCACACCGTTGTCATACACTTCCCTTGACAGGCTAGAACGACTCCAGCGGAAAGCCGCCAGAATATGTCTCCACCTTTCCTTTTACACACACTTAGAACACTCCCACCTTTTGCATCGCATCAAATGGCCAACATTATTTTCACGCTTTAAAGTTAAACATATACTCTTCGCGCATTCTCTGCGCCATAATTATGCCCCACCACATATACTCTCGCTGCATACTGCTAGCAACGTGCAACCTTCGTATAATTTACGTCGCTCTCGTACTTGGCACTTGCCAACTCCGCGGACTGACCGCTGTCTCCATTCTCCCCTGTACAAGGCCCTTCATTACTTTAATTGCTTGCCCGCCCAGCTTCGCGAAATCCCTTCTCGTACTCCCTTCAAATCCGAGATATCCCTGCTGTTGCACAACTCTGTATGCTCGTGTAGCGACCACCACTGCCCGCATACTTAAGTACACAACTCTGTGTGCTCGTGTGGCGACCACCCCTGCCCGTACACTTAAGTAGTCATTAACCCCTAGGCCCTGCCCACCCAATTCTTCCTCACTCTTTCTCCTTTCTTACACTATTATCTCTTATTGGCCACTGGCTATCTTGAGAATAAAGATTTGAAACAACAACAACAACAACAACAACAACAACAACAACAACAACAACAACAACAACAACAACAACAACAACAACAACAACAACAACAACAACAACAACAACAACAACAACAACAACAACAACAACAACAACAACAACATCAACATCAACAACAACAACAACAACAACAACAACAACAACAACAAAATCATTCAACACTGCTCCATCGGCTCAAATGGCCGACAATGTTCTCTCGCCGCAAAGTGAAGCTCACCCTTCTTGCTCACTCCATAAAATACCAATATGCCCCACAACACATACGCTTACTCAACACCCCCGCTCAAGTTACGGCCCAGTACAGCCTTCGAAACGCACGCACTCGGCACCTCCCACCCTCCAGAACCGATCGCTGTAAAGACTCCCCACTGTACAAGTCCCTAGAATACTACAATGCCCTCCCTGCTAGCATTCGTGACATCTCCTCCCGACCTGATTTCAAACAAGAAATCTGCTCACTGCTGATTAACTCAATCTGCTCCTGCAGCGCTCACCCACTCCAACACTTAGTTCAAAGTGATGTAAATCACTTTCCAACTGTTTAACCCACAATCTCACCTTCTCATAAATTTATCTCTTATTGGCGATGGTGCCATCGTGAGAATAAAGAATTCAAACAAACAAACAACAACAACAACAACAACAACAACAACAACAACAACAACAACAACAACAACAACAACAACAACAACAACAACAACAACAACAACAACAACAACAACAACAACAACAACAACAACAATCAAAGATGGCACCTGCTGGTTAACACAAAGAAAACAGTCACCCTCCCGTTCTACCACAATAACCGCCCCCCTGAACAGCTACCCAAGATCACCCTCAGGAATAGTCCGCTTACCGTAGCACAAAAACACAAACACCTCGGAATAATCTTTCAGCATGACCTCCGTTGGACGGAGCATGTTGAATACATAGTTAAAAAATCACTCAAGTCTTTCAATATTCTTTTTAGACTAAGGTCTACACTCACCAGTGATTCTTTATCTCACATCTATCAGACATACATACTACCTATATTCTCATATGCGAGCAATGCTCTCACACCGTTGTCACACACTTCCCTTGACAGGCTAGAACGACTCCAGCGGAAAGCCGCCAGAATATGTCTCCACCTTCCCCTTTACACACACTTAGAACACTCCCACCTTTTGCATCGCATCAAATGGCCAACATTATTTTCACGCTTTAAAGTTAAACATATACTCTTCGCGCATTCTCTGCGCCATAATTTTACCCCACCACATATACTCTCGCTGCATACTGCTAGCAACGTGCAACCTTCGTATAATTTACGTCGCTCTCGTACTTGGCACTTGCCAACTCCGCGGACTGACCGCTGTCTCCATTCTCCCCTGTACAAGGCCCTTCATTACTTTAATTGCTTGCCCGCCCAGCTTCGCGAAATCCCTTCTCGTACTCCCTTCAAATCCGAGATATCCCTGCTGTTGCACAACTCTGTATGCTCGTGTGGCGACCACCTCTGCCCGTACACTTAAGTAGTCATTAACCCCTAGGCCCTGCCCACCCAATTCTTCCTCACTCTTTCTCCATTCTTACACTATTATCTCTTATTGGCCACTGGCTATCGTGAGAATAAAGATTTGAAACAACAGCAACTACGCCAACACACACCTACATCGTGCCTGGACCTGGCCATCTCTAGCCTCAGCCGCAATAACATCACCATCGCAAGCCTGCCCCTATGGGTGCCTCTGATCATGTTGTCATACAAGGCATCCTACGACCCCAGCAGCACACCACCCACAGAAACAATAATACCAATAATAATAATAATAAATATATAAATGAGAGCAGTCCTACACAGCAGAGCACCTCCAGCACATAATGGTTGTGGAGCGAGGAACGCATTGCGTCCCTGCGTGAAGCTCTTGCTACCTGCAATCTGCAGTACGATCCACATCCCACTGACCCTCAGCCAGTAACCTCATTCTGGAACTTCTGAAGAGACCAGATACTGAAACTAGCCGTGCACCATTGCCAAGTGACCAGAAGCAAATCCCGCAAATGTCGTAACCGGACTGCCCGGGGTTGGACCCCAAGGCTGCGGTTCGACATGAACTAACTTACTAATAAACCTTCACATTACAAGGCCGTGCAGTGGTGGCCACTTGGAGAGAGTCCACCAACAGAATTACTCTTACGCACGCACGCACATATACCTAGACATACTCTCACACACACACTCAGGCATATACAGACACGTACACTCACACCAGCGTTCAGGTTGACTCACATCTTCAAAGGAGCTAACTTGGTTCAAGAGACGATAATTATTGAGAGCACAAGGCAAGAGAGACGAAAGCCGAAGCTTCCGCCTGAAGGCGGAAGGCAAGAGAGAGAGAAAGAAGGAAAGTCATCGCAATAGTATCTAGTTGCGGCCATGGAAGTCCATGGCCACGAGATTGCTGGTCCCGCATGCAATAGCGTATCAAACCGTAGTAAATGTGTGTACGAACTGTTGCATAAAGAGCGGGAGCCATGTGGGGAAATAACAGCGTATACCAAATAAGGAAGGCCCCAGGCCTTGTGTGAAGATATAAAATAAAGACGATTATGAACCCGTTTACGGGAGATAGATAAATAATAAGACACCTAAATAAGGCATACTTGTCCCGTAGAGGCCTAAAAGGCACGTGTCTATAGTATGGATACGACATATCCCCCGCTTACACGGAAAAGAACACGTCCTCGTGTTACAAGTAACGTAATAAATTAGACTAAGATTATGGCTAACAATTTAACTAAACGAGTGCAGGTCAAAATTGGAGTTCCGATCAAAAACTGTTCAAAGACTAGCTGTAATATTAGCCACAACCAAACCAGCCAATACCACTGAAATCCTTACTCGTGCCAGACGGGACTCCCAAACAGCTGAGGTGGATGGCGGGAACGCGGGGTTCGCCTTTCCATCACGCCAACTGGCGGAGCACTGTCGAATACCCGAGCGGTGTCCTCCTCGTCTCGGGCGGCGGCATCAGTGGCATCAGGCTGGTAGGACGGAGTCAGGGTGGATGCCATGGGCTGCGGTGGGTCCGACTCATCTTGCTCGTGGACCTCCTGCAGCCGACTCGGTCGATGATGACAACTTTTCAGCCGGTTGACGTGCACTATCAGCCGACGTGCCGTTGGCTCAGACAGCTTGATGCGGTAGGTGACGGCGGAGAGCTTCTCCTCGACTAGGTACGGTCCGTGCCACAGTCTAGAAAACTTGGCGGTTGTACCCGTCGGAATGGCCGGCACCAGAAGCCACACTGCATCACCAGCTGCAAACGTCACGGCCTTAGCGTTACGATCACGGATATGCGCTTGATAGCGGTGCACGTTGCCCAAGTGCTCCCGAACCTGCGCATGAGCGTCCTCCAGGCGTCGGCGGAGAGCACTCACGAATTCCGGCTGGGACGCTACTGCGGATGCTGCTCCTGGCGGTAATCCAAATGCCAAGTCTTGAGGTAGGCATATAAAGCTCCCGACCAAAGAGCAGATAGCTTGGACTGTAGCCGGTACTAGTCTGCGGCGTCGAGCGGTATCCCATCAAGAAGGCTGGCAACTTGATGTCCCAATCTCGATGATTCCGGCAGACATAGTGCGCCAGGCCACGCTCAAGCGTCTGGTTGAATCTCTCAACCAGACCGTCACTCTGTGGATGGTACGCAGTTGTCCTGGTCTTATCTATGCCAAGCAGAAAGCAAACACTGCGAAACAGAGAGCCATCAAAGTTTTTTGCCCTGATCGGTATGCAACCGATCAGGAGCACCAAAACGTGACACAAACTCATTGACAAACACCAAAGCAATAGTGGAAGCATCCATTCTCGAAAGCGGAAAAGCTTCCACCCATTTAGTGAAATAGTCAACTACAACCAAAATATGGCGGTTCCCTTCCGCTGTCTCCGGCAAATTGGGGATCAAATCCATTGCTACTCGCTCAAAAGGATACCCCGTCCAGGAAGACTGCATTGGAGCGCCAGACCCTCTGCCAACGGGACGCTTCAACTGGCTACAGGAAGAACAACTTGCAACCCAATCCAAGACATCTTTCTTCATGCCTACCCAGTGAAATTTTTGCGTCAGTTTCTTCTGCAGGCGTGTAGAACCCGTATGTCCCCCCTGGTCATGATACTCTTGCAAAACCAATGAACGTAAATGCCGGGGAACAACAACTTGCAAGGTAGACGGCTTACCGGGGCAAGGGTCCTCCCAACGACGGCACAACACCCCCTCATGATGAACCAGCATTTCATGATTTTTCCACAAAATACGTACCTCAGGACTGCTACCCATCATGTCCTGTGGGCAAGGCGGAGAGTCCATACCTAGCCAGGACACAACTTGGGCGAGATCTCGGTCCTTCTCCTGTTCCGTTTCCCATCTTGACCACGGCCAGCTGAAACGGCGGATGAGGGGCGTGGGGATGTTGCCAACGTCGTTGTTCACGGCCCCTACGAACAGCGTCGTCGAAGCGTCAGGGCGGCGTGACAATGCATCAGCGTTAGCGTGCGATCGACCTGCCCTGTACAATATGGTGAACTCAAATTCAGACAAAAATTCCAGCCAGCGAGCCACAATCGCCGGTGGATTTTTTTAAATTAGCCAAGTGTTCTAGAGAACGATGATCAGTACGAATCACAAATTGTCTACCAAGCAGGTAGCAACGAAAATGTCGCACAGCCCACGCCAAACCCAACAATTCCTTTTTCGTGGATGCGTACCGTGTTTCTGTATCGGCCAGAAGTCGACTAGCCTACGCTATCGGCCGTTCCAGACCTTCCTGAACCTGAGACAGCACTGCTCCTAACCCTGGTCCACTAGCATCTACGTCTACCAGAAATGGTGATGCATCTTGCCCAAACCTGGGGTAAGCTAGTCCTGGGGCAGTCGTCAGCACTGTCTTCAGATTCAGGAAAGCGGTTTCACAGTCAGGGGTCCACAAAAACACTTGGCCAGTTTTCGTCAGGCTGTACAAGGGGTGGGCAATGGTGGCAAAATCTTGGGCCAACCGCCTATAATTCCCACAGAATCCCAAGAAACCACGCACTTCTCCAACTGCTTCAGGGGTAGGCCAGTTTCTGACTTTCTCATCTTACCCGGGTTGGTCCTAACCCCCTCCCGGGTAACAATGTGGCCCAGGAACTCAACACTTGTGCGGAACAACACTTACTGGGCTTCAACCGCAGATCTGCCTTCAAGAGGCGGTCAAAGACCAACTATGTCACTTTAGATTTCAGTTTCAACACTCCATAATCCGAACCCACAGTACTGATTGAGGCGGGGAGGTAGAGAAGAACATTCGCCCTTGTCCCGACGAAATGGTGCAAGGAATGTGGGATAATATGTCCCGGCCAACAATACAATCACGTGGCAACCCCTTAACAATTCTTACCCGGTGCCAACAGGTTGCATCTCCGAGTTCCAACTGAACAATTGCTGACGCCACGGCTTCTAGTGGTTGCCCGTTGGGGCCAATCAACTTCGGGCCTTGGTCAGAGGTTTCCTTTTCCAGCTCCTTAGGTAGGCGGTCGGCAAAATCCTCTGACAACAATGTAGCGGCGGATCCTGTATCAATCACAGCGTCCACTGGACATCCATTCACCGCTCCAGGCACCAACATGTCCGCACGCTCACTCGCATGTTCAATGAAGACAGAACACATAGATCAGGCTATTGTTTTCTGTAGCAGTCTAAGTTTTGCAGATACTGACTTCAACCCCAGGGTTCCACTACCCGGGAAAATCTACAAAAGCAGATGCAAACTACCTCCCGTCTTTTGTTAATAATGACAACTCTCGGAGTAAGCACTCCCACAGACTGAGAATCCGCAGAAAAGGGCACTAGACTAGAGCTATCCGATCTCTAAAGAGCGGTAATAGCATCAGCTACATCCCAGAGGCTAATTCATAGGTTTCTTATGAGAACTCGCAAGGCCTAGGACTCAGCAATAATCAGTCTGCAATCAGCCACATGCACAGAGCTAGCAAGCGCTACAAATGCGTCAATTTGCAACAAATACAAACTGGCGTATTTTTCCAATTCTTCCTTACCGGCAAGGTCAGGGGACCAGCGAGGATCGCACTGTAGGGGCGTCGATTCCACTCCCACCGATGGGGCGGTAGAAACCCTACAGCAATGGCTTCAGCTACAATAGCTGCACGAGCATGAGCAGCTGCTGAGACAGCGCAGGAGGTAACAGCAACTCTTTTTCACAGCACCTGCTGAACCATAAGGTCACAAACACAAAACCACAAAAAAAAAACACAAACCACAAGCACAGCAGGAAAACTGCTGCCACTGTGCCAGCTTCGTCATACAGGTCAAATTCTCCATTAACGCCATGATCAAACCCTTGACTTGGCGACTCTCCACATCTGTTTCCAGAATGCGAATGTCCATACCAAGTGACACCAACCAAAATATTGGATATACGACGCCACGTGGAATTGTCGTCAGACTTACGATCAAGAGAAACTGCCCAAGAACAACCATACCTTCTTCTTGATATCCTTGAGATCTCGTAGAAGTCCGGTAATTCGCGGATTGGGCAGCGGAAAATCCATACTGCCCGTCCATTCGATCGACCGGGGCATCACAATGTCATAATCATCAATATCTCTCTCGTTGACAGCACACAAGGTGTCGGATCCTGTTCACTGCGCCAAATGTCGTAACCGGACGGCCCGGGGTTGGACCCCAAGGCTGCGGTTCGACATGAACTAACTTACTAATAAACCTTCACATTACAAGGCCGTGCAGTGGTGGCCACTTGGAGAGAGTCCACCAACAGAATTACTCTTACGCACGCATGCACATATACCTAGACATACTCTCACACACACACTCAGGCATATACAGACACGTACACTCACACCAGCGTTCAGGTTGACTCACATCTTCAAAGGAGCTAACTTGGTTCAAGAGACGATAATTATTGAGAGCACAAGGCAAGAGAGACGAAAGCCGAAGCTTCCGCCTGAAGGCGGAAGGCAAGAGAGAGAGAAAGAAGGAAAGTCATCGCAATAGTATCTAGTTGCGGCCATGGAAGTCCATGGCCACGAGATTGCTGGTCCCGCATGCAATAGCGTATCAAACCGTAGTAAATGTGTGTACGAACTGTTGCATAAAGAGCGGGAGCCATGTGGGGAAATAACAGCGTATACCAAATAAGGAAGGCCCCAGGCCTTGTGTGAAGATATAAAATAAAGACGATTATGAACCCGTTTACGGGAGATAGATAAATAATAAGACACCTAAATAAGGCATACTTGTCCCGTAGAGGCCTAAAAGGCACGTGTCTATAGTATGGATACGACACAAAAATACTACGCCCACTCGTCCTTGGATGACTAAGGGGCCTATTATATGTGCAACTCCAGCCCGGGCTGGAGCAAGCGGGCCAGCCCGCCAAGGGTGTTTACATGTGCAAGGCCGGGCTGGTCGCCAGCCCGCAGTGAGTTTATATGCGCTGAGCACACGCCAGCCCGTTGTGAGTATGCAGCGAACACACTACGACTGTGGTGTGCTGCCCCGGGCTGAAACGCAGGGCTGCAAGCCATACTCAGGTTATAAACCTAAAAACTTTTTTTCTCACACAATGTATTCTTCTGCTGATTTCTTTTCGCGCTGTGGCACATGTTTGGTGTGTTGTATCACCTCGTTTCTTTTCCCTGTTTTTCACATTTTTAGCTGTCCATATCAAAGTATTTTGCAAGTAGTTCTCCGCCCACTTTAATGTAAATCATGCATGTCGACAAATAAACAGTGCTCACTGTACGTCCTTCTTGTTGCTGTACAAAAAGCTTCGTAGATTTTCAAGACAATATCGGGAATCCTCTTTATAACTACCCTCAAAAGGTAAAAGTACCTATTTTGTAGTATGAACGTAGTGTCGACACCATAATAATACAACTCTGGCCCGGGCTGGTCTGTTTATATGTGCTTTTTCTGGCCCGCCTAGCCGGGATCCCGGGTGCCTCGAGGCGAGATCCCGCCTCGCCGGGCCAGCCCGCTTGCCATGTAAACGCACCACAGGTTTTGTGTGGATTTGTGTACAACCCCGAGATCCCGTTGCAGGCGGGCTGGCCCGCCTGTCGACCAGCCCGGGCTGGAGCTGCACATATAATCACCCCCTTAGGATCTCCTCAGCCAGATCAAAACAAAGCACAAACAGTTCCGCACCTACAAGGCGACCCAACTAGACTCAGATTGGAAACTGCCACAGCCCAGCGTAACCGAGTAACCGCTCTTTTGCGACAGGCTAAGTCCGATTTTGTCCAGCAGACAACGTCAACGGGTACAAACCTCCACCGTCCACTGAAGCACCTGAAGAAACCGCCTAAGCAAACAATTCCCACACTATCGACAGCCAACTCCACTGCAGCAACGGCTATGGAGAAGGCAACAGCTCTCAACAAGTTCTTTATCTCCCAAAGCCAACAGTCCATCGACAAGACCGCCTGTACTACACCAGACATCAACACTACCCCTGACATCAGTCATACTATAAATACAATCGCAGCAACAGTGGAAGAGGTCGAGAAGCTTCTAAGCAGTCTAGAAACTGGCAAGAGCCCAGGCTTTGACAACATCCCAACTCGGCTCCTGAAAGAAACTGCAAAGGAAATCTCCCCATCTCTCACTAGTCTCTACAATCTGTCCTTCAGAACCGGAGAAATACCACAGGATTGGAAAGACGCAACTATTACACCCATCCCCAAGTCGGGCAACCCCTCCCATCCTACCAACTACCGACCCATCTCCCTGCTCAGTATAATATCAAAAACACAAGAAAAAAATTAATAGTCCACTCTCGCCTGTACAATCACATAGCACCGCACTTACCCTCCAACCAATCCGGCTTCAGGAAACAAGACGGGACCGAACTGCAACTCGCACGGATCGTCCACCAGATATCCACAGCTAGGGATGCGGGGAAGCATGTTGTTGCGTGTTTCTTCGATCTCAGTAAAGCCTTTGATCGTGTATGGCATCAAGGCTTGCTGAAAAAGCTGAGCCACTACGGTGTCGACGGCAAGGCTCACAAGTGGCTCGAAGCCTACTTGACAGGACGCAGACAGCGGGTGCAGGTTGAAGGCACCACATCCGCCTTCATACCAATACCAGGGGAGTGCCCCAGGGCTCTGCCCTGGGACCACTTCTGTTCCTGGCGTACACCATTGACCTGCCCACTGCCTTTGAAAATGCTACAATCTCGTGTAGCCAGTTCGCGGACGACACCGCACTAATTGCCATTGCAGGCAGCTACATTGAGTGTGAGGCTGCGCTACAAAGAAGCGTCGATGCCGCAGCAGAATGGCTAGAGCGCTGGCACCTGCTAGTCAATAAAACGAAAACCGTCATCCTCCCGCTCTACCATGCTAACCGACCCCCACCACGACTACCCGAAATAGAACTTGGGCAAACCCTACGAGAAACAGTAACACAACATCGTCACCTCGGCATCATCTTTCAGCACGACCTAAGATGGTCAGCCCACCTTGACTTTGTGCTGAAGAAAGCCGTAAAATCTTTTAATATTCTCTTTAGGCTCAAATCAACTCTACACACTAAATCACTCTCTCTCATCTACAAAACATATATACTGCCTATAATTGAATATGCATGCATTGCCGTCACCCCGCTCTCAATCGCAGCCCTTGACCGTCTTGAGCGAATCCAGCGCAAGGCGGCCAGAATCTGCCTCCGTCTCCCGCTCTACACTCCTCCGAATCATTCAACACTGCTCCATCGGCTCAAATGGCCGACAATGTTCTCTCGCCGCAAAGTGAAGCTCACCCCTCTTTCTCTCTCTCGCTCTCTCTTTCTCTCGCTCTCTCTCGGTCTCTCTCTCTCTCTCTCTCTCTCTCTCTCCCACTCTCTCTCTCTCTCTCTCTCTCTCTCTCTCTCTCTCTCTTTCTTTCTTTCTCCTCTCTCTCTCTCTCTCTCTCTCTCTCTCTCTCTCTCTCTCTCTCTCTCTCTCTCTCTCTCTCTCTCTCTCTCTTTCTTTCTTTCTCCCTCTTTCTCTCTCTCGCTCTCTCTTTCTCTCGCTCTCTCTCGGTCTCTCTCTCTCTCTCTCTCTCTCTCTCTCTCTCTCTCTCTCTCTCTCTCTCTCTCTCTCTCTCTCTCTCTCTCTCTCTCTCTCTCTCTCCGCCATTCCTCTCGCCCCCCTCTCCCATGGTGCTTGCTGTGTACGCCGATCCCGAGACCCTTGGTCGGGGGAGTCCACTGCATCTCACCAGCGCAGCTCATGTAGCGCCTACACACCCATTGTTGTCTTTTTTGTTTCGTCTTCGTTTTGTCTCCCCCTTCTTCCGTAGGTATGTGCAATGTGATAAAAAAAAAAAAAAAAAAAAAAACCCTTCTTGCTCACTCCATAAAATACCAATATGCCCCACAACACATACGCTTACTCAACACCCCCGCTAAAAGTTGCGGCCCAGTACAGCCTTCGACACGCACGCACTTGGCACCTCCCACCCTCCAGAACCGATCGCTGTAAAGACTCCCCACTGTACAAGTCCCTAGAATACTACAATGCCCTCCCTGCTAGCATCCGTGACGTCTCCTCCCGACCTGCTTTCAAACAAGAAATCTGCTCACTGCTGATTAACTCAATCTGCTCCTGCAGCGCTCACCCTCTCCCGTACTTGTAAAATTCAAAGTGATGTAAATCACTTTCCAACTGCTAAACATAAAAAAAAAAAAAAAAGGCGCTGACGCCTGTTGGGAATTCCCTAGTAAAAGAAGAATAATGCAATGAATATAACTAAATGCGCACTCATATCACAACCATGGGGACGAATCATGTATTCCAGAACGTTTTCTTGTCACAATTATCAATGGAATTCGTGACTAAAGAGAATGATGAAACTACAATAGGATTTATACACTTGCAGTGGAACAGCGAGGATACAAGCATAGTAAGAAAAATAGCACAAACCTAGGAACAATTTGCACAGGTAATAAACTATAGGTGAGGTGAGAAATAATAGGAAA